CACACACACACACTCTCTCTCTCTCTCTCTCTCTCTCTCTCGGATAGCTTATATTTAAACCATTTTCTCTACTCGCTACCTAAGAATTACAAAGTTCTATCTGCTCAGTACTTGATTTTTGAGAAATGTGACGTCAAAGATTTTTAGTTTCACATATCATTTTTTTAAATGCAATTCTTTGACTATCTTGATAACGACTCCCAATAATCTTACGATTTTGATAGAGCAGACAGAATATTAATCAGTTTCTGACCTCATGGTCTTAGCAACACAAAACAGCCCAAAATGCCAGATAGAACTTCGAAATTCTTAGGTAGCGAGCAGCTGTCTCCATAGAATAGTTAAAGCAACAACAGATACTGTATCTGACCCCTGTAGGGGTTGGAAAAGGGTTCACCTAGGCGTCTCTATATATGTAGGCACCTACATTATTTTGTGTCCTTCAATTTTTATACTGAGTAAATTTTGCCAGTGATTTTTTTTTTTTTTTTTTTGTTGAAGGTTGAACGATAGATCTACATCCTTCTTGACAAACCATTCATGATTAAAATATCCCCTTTACTTTCCATCCACAACAAGATGCGAAAATTCTGCGGTTTGTTGTGGTCCCAGTCTCAGTGAGCTGAGCTTCACGTAAGAAAGAATTAAAGCGAGTTCCCAGGATGACCACCCTTTGTCAACGAAAAAAACCTTTGTCTTAGACGTGTGGTTCTCTTGGACAGTGTCATTACTATGTAGAGGCAAAAACGAAATTGGGCGGGGAGGGGGGTGGGGAGTGGTCGATTGTACCTGTGATTGATTTGGACAGGTGATCATAAGAGCAGATTCAATTGTAAGTCAATCCAGCGTAAGCCCTCCTACTGGCGTCTTTGGTGTAGCGGTTAAACACTCCGCTATCGCAAACAGCGGAACCAAGTTCGATTCCAAATTTCTATCGAGTATCTCGGTCTTCTTGCATGGGCATTGTATCCTTCTCAGTCAGGGTTGGTCCTAGACTGGGAATGAAGCACGTCTTCTAAATGATCTAAGTAATCATTGTATTGATGGGAGTGTAAAAATCACCTACATTAAAAACCCCAAAATGTTGTTAGATGTTACAAGCACTCCCAGTTCCACTTTTGCCCCGCTCGTTCACCAGAATCTATGTCTCTGTTTTTCCAAACAATTCAACTGCCCCAAAGCAGCGAGGATGTCATCAAGGCAATGTGGCAAAAGCTGCGCCGGGAGGAGCCAGATATGGCTGGCACTTTCGAGGAGTTCCTGGCTCGTCTCTCGGGGGACATCAAGAAGGCAAAAGTCGATTTCCAGTCTCTGGAGTCTGCTCTGTTGAGGTGAGATACTTTATTGCGCAGAGCTTGTCGACCCTTTTTCAGCCAGCGCCCACTTTTGCCGCTTTTAATTCTCTGAAGACGTTCTGGGCTTTCAACTGCCCTTGAACACGCACCTTTTTTTTCCTTTTTCTTTTTCTTTTCTTTTTTTTCCCTTTTTTTTTGGGGGGGGGCGACATGGGAAAAAAAGTAGCTTTTCTTCATAATACAGGCAAATTTTTCTATTATGAATACTATGAAATATGCAAATTCAGGTTTCTTATTAATTTGTGTATTATAGTTCGAAATGTGCCAAAACGTGGCCTTTGGTCTGCTGTTGGACATATAATAGTCCAATGTTTGCTATGTCCTTACGTAGATAACAGGATAACTTTCGTATGGCTCACTTTCATGGATTTCCAATCGGGGCATTAAATAAAACATACCACTATCCGTGCGACCCCCATCACCCATTGCCGACCAAAATTCCCAAATCGTGAACTAGCTTGTAATATTGCCGGGGTTGGCAAACATTTGTATTGATTTATGAGTTGGTATTAGTGAAACTCCCTTCCCTCCCACCCTTGCCGCCAATTCCATCCTGATGGCAGGCTATATATTAAATGGATGATGAGACTCAATCAGAAAAAAAAGTTCCAACCCAGTAGGCCTACTAGTATTACTGTAAATGCCATTATTTTGTTTTGCACACTTTTTCCTACTTCTTCTGTTCTTTCTGTACGAAGGGACTTGAGTTGAAAGTGTCTTTTCCTATTTTTCACTAGTTTTGCCCCTTTGTTCATGTAACTCAATGTGATTATGGTGCGCACATATTATCGCAAGGAATTCAAACTTCAAGCAAGACAAAATTAAATGCCACTGAAATAATTGTGTGTGTGTGTTTGTGTGAGTGTGAGTGTGTTTGTGTGTGTGTGTGTGTGTGTGTGTGTGTGTGT